GGAAAGAAGGTGCTTTACTGAATAAAGAAGATATATGCAAAAGGAGAAGAAAAAATAATCAAATTCTCAACACTAATCATGGACTGATATAAAATGCTTGACAAGATCTGAGGGCCTGCACTTTGGTAAGATTTTACTTTCTAATCATATAAGATATGGGGTTAGTTATTTTAGAATGGGCCAAATTCTGTCTGAGTCATTCCTTATCACTCAGGAGGTTAAAAGTTCAATTTCATAGTAAATTGGATAGTACAGTACAAAAATAGTGAAGTACAATTTTAAAGATAAAATTGTATTACTAAAAACTCTATAAGTCTATATTAATACAGAATTAGAAAAAGTGACTCCTACTGGGTTATTGATATGTAATACGAAAAATGTGTCATCTCAAGACACTGAAATAGAAACCAAGAAAGCCAGGGCAGAACATGTATATCTACATAAACAGATAAATTTTTATTCAAATCATATCTTTCGGGGAAAAAGCAACAAGTAAGAATGGTAATCATTTCAACTTAACAAATATCTACTGGGCACCTAAATACCAAGTTTATTGAGCACGGTCAGGCAAATTCTCAGTTTAAAGACCTTAAGCAACAGTTGATTGGATTATACAAATTAAAACTGATAATACAGAGGAATAATAGTATGCATTCATTTTTTACTGCTGTGTCATAAAGTACTACAAACTCAGCAGCTTAAGACAGACCCATTTGTGGTCTCAGGAGTCTGGGCATGGTTAGCAGGGTCCTCTGCTGGGGGTCTCACCAGGCAGAAATCAAGGTGTCAGCCAGGGCTGCCACCCTCATCTGAGGCTCAGGATCCTCTTCCAAGCTCATTGGTTCCTGGCAGAATTCACTCCCTTGTGGCTGTCACGGCTAAGGTCACGACATTCTTGCTAGCTGTTGGTCAGAGACCACTATCAGCTCCCACAGGACACCTGTGATTCCCTGCCACGTGAACGCGTGCTTTCCCCAGGCCAGCAGAAGCTGTCTCTCTGACATTCTCCCTTCCAGGCTGCTATGAGGGAGGCTTATAAAATAGTGACGTGACCACAGGAGTGGCTACCCCATCAGCAGGGCCATACAACACAGCCTAACTAAGGGGCTGTGACACACCCTGTTCACAGGTTCCCCCAAGCTCCAGTGGAGGGATAACATCAGGCCTGACCCCTGGAGCCAGGAATTTTGGGACCACCTTAGAATTCGGCATGTAAAGGATGTTATGAGGGCGAAAGAAGAAACACAAGATTCAGACTGGCAGAGCAAGGAAAACAAAAGGAGCTTAACAGGTGAGTCCTTGCAGGCCAAGCTCAGGCACTGCTCCTGAAATTCATTCTTCCTTCCTTCCTACCTTCCTTCCTCCCTCCCTCCCTCCCTCCCTTTTCATTCTTTCTTTCTTTGTTTCTTTCCTTTCTTTCTTCTTTCTTTCTTCCTTCCTTTCTTTCTCTTTTTTTCTTTCTTTTTTTCTTTCTTTCTCTCTCTCTTTCTTTCCTTCCTTTTCTTTCTTTTTACTTCCTTCCTTCGTTTCCTTCTCTTTTTCTTTCTCTTTCTTTCCCTCCCTCCCTCCCTCCCTCCCTCTCTCTCTCTCTCTCTCTCTCTCTCTTTCTTTCTTCTTTTAAATGAAGAAATTAAGGCTCAGAAAAGTTAAGTAACTTGCCCAAGGTACAGTGTGGATCTGCCCAAAGGAAATGTCTGACTTAACCTACCTAGGTAAATGGCTGGTTAGGTCACTGGTTACCAGGGTAAATGGCTGGAGGTAGGAGTGAGAGTGAGGAGCGACGGAGGGTGCTTTCATGTAAAGAGTAATAACAGGTGTCAGGATGTAGCTCCAGCAGGCCACACACAGTAGGGAAACTGCAGTACGGTCCTTAGCTCAGCATGACTAGAGCGCATGGCACGACCAGGATGAGTGCGGAGAGACTGGCAGGGCCCCGCTTAGTATGGGTCTTCTGAAAACGGAATCTTCAGGTCTGCGTGAAGCTACAGGAGGACTTTAGGCAGAGGGGAGACAAACTGTATTTGATTTTAAAAAGACGCCTCAGGCAGGAATGGTGTATCACAGCCTTCACAGCAAACTGTTTATGCAATTTTAACAGTGTCACATATTAGTTATCAGTACAAATTACATACCAAATATGTGCAGGAAAACTAAGGGGTCATAATAGACGCTGAAGAACTCTAGTAAAAAGTAAGTGTATCCCCCCAAAAAGCCAATCGTATACATTTTCAAGAGCAGGAGGAAACTGGAGAAAAAGCAGTAGTGTAAGTGCACTGGCACCAAAGGCCTACCTTCATTTCACCGCTTCCACCAGCACTCAGCACATTTCTCCATCCTTGTTCCCTGGCCCTATTTATTTTCTCCAACTTTTGGGGAAAAGAAACAAACAAAACACCATTTCAAATATTTAGTATAAAGTACATGAAATACATTTAGAAATAAAATGGAATCAGTGTATCCGTTTAACAAAAAAGGGCGGGGGCGACTTCCCTGGTGGCGCAGTGGTTGGGAGTCCTCCTGCCAATGCAGGGGACGCGGGTTTGATCCCTGGTCTGGGAGGATTCCACGTGCCGTGGAGCGGCTGAGCCCGTGTGCCACAGCAACTGATCCTGTGCTCTAGAGCCCGCGAGCCACTACTACTGAGCCCGTAGGCCTAGAGCCCATGCTCCGCAGCAAGAGAGGCCACCGCAATGAGAAGCAAGTGCACTGCAGTGAGCCGTGGCCCCCACTCGCCACAACTAGAGAGGGCCGGCGTGCAGCAACGGGGACCGAATGCAGCCAGGAAAAAAAAAAAAAAGGCGCATGTGTAGGAGGCAGTGCAGCACACCGGGGAAATGAACCATCCTCTTACCCTTTCCTTTTCTTGCCTTTTCATCTGTTCAGCCTTCATTAAACTAATCTGTAACAAGTTTTAAAGACAAACTTTTTAGAACTCTTGAAACTATTATCCTCTCCAACTTGGCAGGGGAAAAAAGTAAGAGTGAAATAACTACCTGATCCTTTTGTTTCTTTTCTTTTTCATTCAATTCCAACCTTCTCTTCCTTGCTGGTTCCTTAAATAAAAAAAGAACATTTTTTATCAATAATAAATATTACTTCTTCTAGTTTCATCAGTAAAGCTATCATACCAATGGTAGACATATGCCCAGGGCGGTTAAAAAACAGAAATAAGTTAGAGGTATTTGTTTGAAAGAAATAAGGAGGAAAGGTTTGGAGGTTTTATAAGATTTGTTTCTTCTTCTATAATTATTTTTACAAAGTTTTAAAATAAGCAGACAGATGTCTTTATACCTCAAACAGTTTCCTCCTTTCTTCTCCAGGATTCACTTTCTTCACTGGACTTTGATGGGCCTGGACAAAAAGTAAAACTACAAATTAGATAAGGATTTTGAAAAATTCAAATGTATGGAAATTTAAAACAGGAAAAAATGTAAAGCCAATACTGCCATAACTGTCTTTCAAAATATATTATCCCTGGGGCTTCCCTGGTGGTGCAGTGGTTAAGAATCTGCCTGCCAATGCAGGGGACGTGGGTTCGATCCCTGGTCCGGGAAGATCCCACATGCCGCGGAGCAACTAAGTCTGTGCACCACAACTACTGAGCCTGTGCTCTAGAGCCCGCAAGCCACAGCTACTAAGCCCGCGTGCCATAACTACTGAAGCTGACGCGTCTAGAGCCTGTGCTCCACAACAAGAGAAGCCACCGCAATGAGAAGCCTGCACACCGCAACAAAGAGTAGCCCCCGCTCACAGCGATTAGAGAAAGCCCACGCGCAGCAATTAGAGAAAGCCCACACACAGCAATGAAGACCCAATGCAGCCAAAAATAAATAAATAAAATAAATAATTTTTTTAATAAATAAAAATAAAAGTCACCTACAAAAAAGTAGATAAAGGACATACACAGAGGTTAGCAAAAATAAAGGAAATAGCCAGTAACTACCACCCAAGTCAAGGCACAGAATACTGCCAACAAGCAGAAGCCCTCCACCAGAGAGGTGGCCACCATCCTGACTTTACTAATCACTATCTTGCTTGTCTTTATGGCTTTGCCAATTATGTATGCCTTCCTAAGCAATGCAGTTTAGTTTTCTGTGTTCTGAGTTGTATATTAATGGAATTACACAATATATATTCCTTTGTATCTCACTTGTGTTGCTCAACATTGTTTTCAGAATCGTCCATGTTATTATTTGTATCTGCATTTGTTTTCTTCATTGATAGGTAATACTCCATTGATGTTGATTCCTTTCTTGCATAGTTATCTTGCACTTTTCTCAGCAGGTCTAAAGTATTTGAGAACTGGGAGATTGGGATTGACATATATACACTAATATGTATAAAATAGATAACTAATAAGAACCTGCTGTATAAAAATAAATAAAAAATAAAATAAAGTATTTGAGGGAGTCTGTCACTATGTCTCTCCATTTCCTTTTCTGATTATTCATTTTTGCATGCTGAACTTCTATCAGGCCACTTTACTGAATTCATCAGTAGTGTTCTGCTGCTTCACTAGGATTTTCTACATAGGGAATCATATCATGTGTAAATGTCTGTTTCCTCTTCTCTCCCAGTATTTATGTTTCTTATTTCTTTCTCTTTTTAATTACATTAGCTAGGCTTCCGGAATAACATTAAATAATAGCAATCATTGCAAACATCCTTGTTTTGCTCCTAACTTTAATGTAAATGCTTCAAATTTTTCAGTATTATGTATAATGCCTGACATGGGTTTCTAGTATATATAACTGTGTCATGTTAAGAACTTTCCCCTCTATTTCTTGAATGAAAGAAATTTGGATTTTTAAAATTTATTTATTTTTGGCTGCGTTGGGTCTTCGTTGCTGCACACGGGCTTTCTTTAGTTGCGGTGAGCAGGAGCTACTCTTTGTTGCGGTGTGCGGGCTTCTCCTTGAGGTGGCCTCTCCTCTTGTGGAGCACGGGCTCTAGGCACACGGGCTTCAGTAATTGTGGCATGTGGGCTCAGTAGTTATGGTGCATGGGCTCTAGAGCGCAGGCTCAGTAGTTGTGGCGCATGGGCTTAGTTGCTCCGCAGCATGTGGGATCTTCCTGGACCAGGGCTGGAACCTGTGTCCCCTGCATTGAGAGGTGGATTCTTAACCACTGCACCACCAGGGAAGTCACTGGATCGTCTTTAAAACCATTTTATTGAGGTACAATGGACATACAAAAAGTTGTACATGTTTAATGTATACAACCAAAGAAGTTTTTTTTTTTAAACTGTTATAAATCCTACTCAACTTTCAGTATCTACTGAGATCATTTATGTATGATTTTCTAAACTTACTAATGAAGTGATATTAACCAGTTTCCTACTGTTGAACCATCCTTGCATCCCAAAATGTATCCTATTTAATAATTCTTAAATCATTCTTTTGATAAATGGTTTGAGTTTTTGAAAAACTTCTTTTAGGATTTCTGCATGTGTGCTCATAAGTATAACTGACCCATGGATTTCTCTCTTTTTTTATCCTGGGCTAGCTACTCAATTTTGTGAGCAATGTTAAGCCTACTATATGATCAGGGTTTCAAACCGTTCAAAATACAATTCTATATATCAAAAAAGATTAAAAGTATTTACAGGAAACTCTAGTTATTTATCATGAACCAATTTTAAATTTTTCAGCTACCTTAGGAAAAAATGAATATAAAAAGAAACACTGTACAAAATTATTTACCTATGTTGGGTTTCAACTCAAAGGAAAGCAAATGCTACTTAAAAAAAATTATTTCAGTGGTCATTTACATTATTATTAAAATAATTCAGCATTTGATTAAATCATTAAAGTGTCTCCACTAACAATTCCATTTCAATACCAGCTGTATTTTGGCAAAAGTCAATGTTATGAAATTACTCTCATATACCACTTATTGCTTCTACTTCCTAAATTTTGTAAAATGACCATAATGGATAAGCATTCAAATTCTAAATGCGAATTCAGAATATTACAAAATAAATATGATCCACAATCAATATGAAATTAATATAATTAATTCCAGAAATATATTACTGTTAAGATATTATATAGCTCACAACACATAAAAAAGAACTAGAACGGCACCAAAAGTTTCCTTTCACTAAAAAAAAAAAATCCAAAAAGATATTTAAAGTTTCTGCTTACTTTAGAAAGCAACATGATACATAATTTAAACATAATTTCTTCCTTAGGAAATGCAACTAACTTATTTTAATGAATACATTATTTAATCTGAGCACAATAAAATGATAATATTTAGAATATGTAACATCATCAAATGGGTTGATAAACTGTTAAAATGAGAATAATGATTCTCTTGTACTGTGTTTTGGCATTTTAATTAAATGACCATTATAAACCAAATCCATTTTATTGATACAGTATGTTTTAAACTCAAAGCTACATCATCAATGTGATAAGTGGTATTAAGTCTCATACCAGGGACTTCCCTGGTGGTTAAGTGGTTAAGACTCGGCACTTCCACTGCAGGGGGCACAGGTTCGATCCCTGGTCGGGGAACTAACATCTCGCAAGCCGCGCGGTGCAGCCAAAAAAAAAAACAAAACAAAAAAACCCTCACACCATGACTAATTAAATGGCAAGTTTACTCCCTGACAAAACGACCCAAGCAGTAGGTTCCCGGAACCGTCCCATCTCCTCCTCACTATATTATTAGATCCTAACTCCTAACCTAAAGCTGGCTAGTTATTTCAACTTTCACTTAAGCTGAACCATGTATCTCACCACCTCGCCCCAGGAAAGACACCAGGGTTAATGAGATGACAATAATACTGAAATATTTAAAGAACAGTAGCTTTCAAACTTTTTGTAAAAGCAACCCACTGTAAGAAATATATTTCAGGGCTTCCCTGGTGGTGCAGTGGTTGAGAGTCCGCCTGCCGATGCAGGGGACATGGGATCGTGCCCCAGTCTGGGAAGATTCCACATGCTGCAGAGCGGCTGGGCCCGTGAGCCATGGCCTCTGAGCCTGTGCGTCCGGAGCCTGTGCTCCGCAACGGGAGAGGCCACAG